AATATACGTGTGCGGTGGAGAACAAGAATGTAGCGTAAGAACATTCTCCTTTTTTCCCCACACTACCACCAGTAGTAGTAGATTTAACTGCAACATCCCATAACCTACCTTTCAGGGTTGTTGTAACCATTCCAAACACACACGCGTGCACACACAATGTGCTTTCATACTCAGACACAAGCCCCACTGAATTCAGTGGGGAGCAATCCCAGGTGAACAGGTACAGGATGACTGTGTAAGAAAGCTATATAAACAGTACACAGTACAATCAGCTGTGCTTAAACTGCAAAATGAGAAGCACGCCACGGATTTTCCCAATAAGCGTATCTAAATCAACATCTCGAGATGTACAATGGAAAAAGCATCCCTCTCTACCCATGGCAGATGAAGCGGATTGAAGGTTCTTGCAGGGTATGTGTGAAGGTTATAGGGAGGAGGCGTTTCTGCTGTGATGTTGTTCATGTGGGCGAAGTCATATAGAGAAGGAGAAGTCTTGGCGTGGGCTGCAAGGGTGGGATGAATATGCATTAATCAGTTATTCCCAAGGCTGTCATAGTGGCAAATGAGACTATGAACAAATATGTTTGCCTAAAGAGGTGCCGAATGAAATTCTGAGCAATCAAAATTTCGCAACCGATCTTGGGGATGCAGTGCAGAGAGAAAATACCAGGGATTTAAATCATCACTTTTAAAAGGCATTCTTTGCACCCTCACCTGCTGCCCAAATCAAGGTGAAATGAACCACTAGCCCCTTTTTGCACATTTCAGCTGCAAAACTTTTGCATCATTTGGGTGTTTTCTCATGAGATTTGAATCAGCTTTTCCTTCAATTCAGCTGTAATATGAATATCCGGGGGGGGGGGCGGGGGGAGAAAGAGAGGAAGGAGGACAGAGAACGGTTTTAAAATTTTTTTCCATGTTTGCACAGATGTCAGTTGACTTACTAATCTCCCACTTCCATTTTAATTTGGCTAACTTCTCTTTCTTTCCTTTTCCATACAGCTAAGAACCCAGTGCATGAATTTAGTGGAAGTCAAGCTGCATGGAATGAAGCTAAGCAAGCAAACATGACCAAAGAGCAGAAGCCCCATTTATGCAAAAGTTCAGATAGTTCAACAGAAGATTAATTTAGAACAGTGGCATAATTTTTCAAGCTTTCTTTAGGATTCAGGCATTCACAAATGTGTACTAGTTGCATCATGAAACTAAAGCAATGTTTTTGCAGCTCCTTGGAATTTAGTATGGAAATTTTGTATGTAGAAGTGGCTAGCTGCCTATAAAAAGCAATGTGCATATTGGGATTCAGGTTGTAAAAAATAGTATCACCCCCATTGCCACCTAGGTCTAAGTATGTGCCCAGATCAGACTATCATCTCCTATAAAACAAACAACAGATCTATGAAGAAAATATTCCCCAAAACTCTTCCAAGCATTTTCCGCTTCTACAGAATATTTGGTAAACTAGTTAAAAAAGATTATGGCTGCAATCCAATGCACATTTACCTGGGGATAAGCTTCACTTACAGTGAGATTCACTTCTGAATAAACATACCTAGGATTGTATGATTATATACTTAGTGTTCACTATGTTTCCCACAACACTTGACCACATATTTTGAAAGGCCCTGTATCCTTCTGCAGCCTAGTATTCCAGTACTGAACACTGCAAGAGTTGGCTATTTATTCTAAGTTCTTTTAAGTACTATATTTGACAGGAGCATTGACAACTGGTTATACATATAGATGCTAAACTCATTTTGCTCTGGTAGCAGTCCTCAACTACCGTATTTTTCGCTGTATAAGATGCACCTGACCATAAGACGCACCTAGTTTTTAGAGGAGGGATCCATGGAAAGCTTCCTGATAATCACAGGCACATTCCCCATCACTTCCCCATGGGCTTCATTAAAAGACGGGTTGCCATTTGAAAACACACACCGACCTGTGATTAACAGCTCTCACCTGCGCCGGAGGAAGGGGGCGGAGCAGGGCGCGCCGAGTGTGTGCCAGCCAGGTGTGGTGCAGCCAGGCCAGCAGCGTGCCAGCAGTAGTCTTCCGGGCGGCACGGTGACAGGTCTTCCCGGGCGGTGGGGGTGAGCAATCCGTCTCTCCGTGCGGCCGGCGGGTTAAAGCCCACGGCTCCTCCTCCTCCGCACCACTCCCCCTGAGCAGCACAGCTCTCACCTGCGCCAGAGGGGGGAGGCGGAACAGGGCGCACCAAGTGCGTGCCAGCCAGGTGGTGCCACATGGTGCAGCCAGGCCAGCAGCATGCCGGCGGTGGTCTTCCGGGTGGTGTGGCGGCGGCAGGTCTTCCCAGGCAGTGAGGGTGAGCAGTCCGTCTCTCCGTGCGGCCGGCGGGTTAAAGCCCACGGCTCCTCCTCCTCCGCACCGCTCCCCCTGAGCGGCACAGCTCTCACCTGCACCGGGGGGGTGGAGCCAGCCAGGTGGTGCCACGTGGTGCAGGTGGGCCGGCAGCGTCCCAGATGTCGGGCACACACACATTCACTCTATAAGACGCACAGGCATTTCCCCTTACTTTTGAGGGGGACAAAAGTGCGTCTTATAGAGCGAAAAATATGGTACATCTAATGTACATAGCATCCATACAGAGCATTGGTATTGCATCTTCTTAAGAAACTCTAACATCTGTGGATCTATTTCCAGATTTAGAGCCAGAGTACTAATCACACAGTATTTCATTTAATCCACTCAATTAAGAAATATTTTCATTTGCCCCCACTCATCTAGATAGAACTCTTTGTTTTCTGTTTTTTCAGAATAACAAACTATATCACAGAAGGAACAATTGTCTTGCAAAGTATGCAATTAATTTGAGGATGAAATGGCATTTAAGATGTATTGATGATTTACTAGAGATGTTCCATCACTCATCACCCTCCCTCATGACAGTCTGCCAACTATGCAATATTATATTTTGAAGCACAATATGAACAGTAACTCTTCAACATTACTAAGATAATTTAAAAACAAAGATAGCTGCAATGATCAATGAGGGGGGAAATATCCAAACCCGGGGGGTGGGCAGGCGGGTGGAGGGGTGGGAGGGCTTCATAATTAGGCAATCTCTTTATTAAAACCAAGCAAAATGCCACGAAAGACTGTGTAAGCTTTCGAGAGCTTCTTCATCATCACTAGTCAGAGGCGGTGTGGGAGGGGGGGAAGAAGCTGCAGAGGAAATTTGGCTGCCATCCTATACACACATAAATTCCACTTGGACTCAGTGGAGCTTACTTCCGAGTAAACATGTTTAAGAGTGTACTGTTAGTCTTTCACCAACACTTCACAAGTATTAGACGCAGGCTGGTAAAAAATACAAGCACCATCTTAACATATGCAGGTGCTTTCACGATACTGTAAAATAAAATTACACACACTCTAAAATCCTAGTATGGAAGGGGGGGGCAGTGAGAGTGAGTGTATAAGTGAGCAAAGGGGAGGGAGAATCCGAACCCTCCCATTCAAAAATATTAAACTAGCGTTGGTTTTCAATTAGGGTGTGCCTGTGCAAGAACACATGGTGTATTACCACACACGCACGAGCATATGTTTGTATGTTAAACTGGAAAAAACCAAATGAAAGAAATCTATTTGATAACTAAATTACAAAGGTGATCTCCATAGGAGAGGCTGTTGGGAAGATGAGCGTCTTGGAGCCAACCCTTCCTTCAAAAACATGGTTAGACAGATTTGCCCAAACAGAACACCTAACAAAATTAAACTTCTCAACACGTAAGAAGTTCGAAATCATCAACGCATTAAGCTCTAAACCTGATCTGCAACCAAAGGTAAAGAAAACAGAGTAAAATCTCCACCCATCGTAGTGTTTGGGTTGTATTCCCATCTCACTTCCCCCACCACCAACTTTTAGCCTAGACAATGCAAGGATGTTTCAGTACTTTCCCTCCTACGCCCTCACCCTTTTTTGCACTGGATTTCGCTGGGAATCGTCCACACGCCACCCACACACGCGCACGAATCCGCCCTCTCCTTCCGGCAATCTACAGCAGCAGGAACAAACTGCACAGCATCAGCTCTGAAAACACCCTGCGGGGTAGGGAATACCACCGCTTCCAAACTCTGTCTCCCCCACCCCACGCTAGACGGGGTTTACTCAGAGTTAAACCTCGTTGACTCCAATGGGACTTACCCCATGTAACTGTGCATTGCACTTTTCCATTACGTGTCCTGCACTAAAGAATTTCATCCATCCCATCTACAATACCCGGTTTTCCAGATTCAAACATGTATTTTTAACACGACTGTTGTGTGTTATGGTGCACGAATCATACAAGTTACAGAAGTGTAACTAAAAGCCAGTGCGAAAGGTTTACATTCCTAAACCCCGCTCATTCCAGATTAGGTTGCAATCTTACATACACTTTCCTGGAAGCACTCATCCATCGCACCCAGCGAGGCTTACTTCCGAGTAGACACGCCTATGATCGCCCTGTTGATCCGACATAGGTCTGATGGGGGTACAAGGACTTTTCTAAACCTTTCTTGACGCGACTTGAGCGACGGTTCTTTAATTGCTTATTCCCAAGTAACCCATTTACGTCAAGCGCGTACAAATCAAAACCGGTTGAACAGTTTTAGGACAGTACCCACAAAAAACAAACAAACAAACCTGTTTCGCGAGGTTAGGTCACAGCTAAGAACCTTTAAAGCCCTATTCCATGCATACCGACTACTCAGTAAAACTGATTCTGCCTTCGAGTTTCATAGCGCTTACTTCTTTTCTTGCTAGGTCAGCATACACAAGACCTCAGCCTTTACAATGGCGCGAAATCAGAAAATGTTTGCAGCCGCGCAGAGCGCGCGATCCGCGAAAAGACAGAAGGTCAAAAGAACCCGAGACGCGTTCTTTACTTTTTCGCACGGTCCCATGCTCACGCGCTTTCGGAGCCCAGCGTGCAAAGATGCGGCGGCAACTTCGGCTTATCCACGCGCAAACGCCGGCCACGAGGGTCTCTACTTACTTCTTCGCAGGACGCCGCCGCTGCTCTCGCTGCTTGCCCGGGTCCTTCCGTGGCCGCCGGGCGCGGATGTTGTCCGGAAGTTATGGCCAGTGTCCCCCTCGCCTGCGGCCAGCCTTCTCCCTTCCCATCAGTGGGCGAGCTGGCTTCCGCCTCCCAGACTCCGCTCTGGCCAGCGGCCCCCGAGAGCGGCTCCGGCAGTGGCGGCAGCGGCTGCTGTTGCAAGGCTGCAGGGAGGGAGCGGCGGCGGTAGCAGCCTCCTCCTCCTCCTCCTCCGCCACCGCCGCCTCCTCCTCCTCCTCCCCCCCTTCTCCTCTGCCCGCACATCCAGGGCCCCCCTCCCGCGCTGTCACATGGGGAGATTCCGCTCTCGCTCCCTCCTGCGCCGCGCTCCTGCTCCTCCCTCCCACACGCGGCCGCGTGACGCAGATCCTGGCGTGGGCGGCGCGAAGGCGGCGGCGGCTCCGAGCTCGGCGGCCGCCACCGTCTGGAATGGCGCGCAGCGGCGTGCAAGGGAATGCCCGCCGGCGGGGCCGGGAGAGCGCGGAAAGGGGAAACAAAGCGCGAGGGAGCGCCCGCACAGGCTGCACCCGCGGGACGGGCCTGGATGGAGGAGGAGCTGCCGCCGCCGCCGCCTCTGCCCTCTCCTCCGTCCCCGCTCCCCGCCCTTTCCTTCCAGGGCAGCAACCCGACCCGCGTCGCTGAAGTGCGGCGCGGGGCTGTCTTGGGTGGGACATTTTGGGAGGCTTCCATTCATAGGGGGCCGTAAATCAGAGACGACTTGAGTGCCCACGACGACCACCGCAGGTTCTCAGAGGAGTTCTGTCGTGGGACGAGGCCCCTTTTCTCTCACCCCGGGAGCAAAATGCCATAATGCAAACGAATGCATTCCAAAATAGCTGAATGTAAGCCCCCATTCACAGCGATGGGTGTGCTTTTAAGGGTTAGGACTGCGCTTGGAGATTACCCAGGCCCGTGTTGTCGTTCTTGCAAGTTTCCACAGCGCCGAGCTGTCCCCTGGACTTGCCCGCAGCATCCCTACCCCTGTCGAACTTCATGGAGGCTTATAGAATCCTAGAATAGTCGAGTTGGAAGGGCTGAAGAGGGCCATCGGGTACAACCCCCTGCTGGTGCAGGACAAGTTACACCATCCGACTCGGAAGGTGTAATTTACGCAGGACCTTTGGGGAGAGTTGCCGATTGACGCTTCCCCGCGTTTCTTCCGTTTGTGCGCTAGTCAGCGCACGTCTAGACATGCCTACTCAGAAGTAAATTCTGATTTTAGTGAGGCTTACTCGCAGCTTAGTGCGCTGGGGACTGCAGTCGAGACTTTCTTTCCCTTTGTGTTGCTCCCCGCCTGTTTGCCTCCTGGACTCAATATGGCATTTCGAAGGCATGCCTGATAGGTTGCCGGTGCCAACCTCGTGCCTTTCAAATGTTTCGGAGTTCAGTGCTCATTAGCCCCATCACCTGCGTTTAAGAATGCCGGGAAGTGTATTCCAAAACACTGGGCGCCCCCACTTTGGAGAAGGCTGGATGTGCTCAGTTGGGATCCAAGGTGCAACCCAGCCTTATTAATGTACATTGAACTATTCCAATGAGATTTACCTTTAAGTATGAACACAAGATTTAGCCACCCCTTCGGTACTTGCACAATTCCAAAACCACACCAAACACAGCAAGTTTGGAAGATTTTCCTTAGTTCTGTTTCCTGTTAGTATCAAGAGTTGTGAATATTTTCACATTAATTTTTTACATTCACTTTTTGAAGTATTCCACGTTCTTTTAATTGCCACACTGGCTCTTCCCCCTCCTATATCCAAATTTTGCCTCTTGCCAACATTCCAGTATTTTATCTAGCCCATTTCAAATATTCATTACTGTCCAATTAAATTATAATTCTCTTAGGGGGAAAAAGAAGAAACTAGCCAAATATCTGGGAAATGCCCCTCCTCTGTTTTTTCCTTTTTGAGAAGGGATACTCTTTAGATTGATTGAATTAATTATAAAAGATTTCTGTTGGAAAATATGTTAGGGAATGTCTTTCTAAATAAGCAATGTGATCTCTCATTTATATTGGTCACTGTGGATTTGTGTCTTCTTAAGTTCTTTTTGAAATGCATCCAGCCTCTCCAAGGAGCAGAAGGGCCAGAGGTAATTTAATATACACATATTTTAAACTAAATGATTTTAACTGATTTTGCTGAGATTTAAAGTTGTAATCATGTACACACTTATCTGGAAGCAAAACCCATTGAACTCAGTGTTTCTTTCTTTTGGGTAAATATTAAAATTGCACTGTAACAGAGTAATTCAAAAATGGCCATTCTGCCATGGTTGGAGCTTGATCCCAACATATAGAAATAAATCCCAATGAATTCCATGACATGTACTCCCAGACTGCAGCACTGCTTGAATAAACTGGCTTCTATTGTAGTGTTTAATTCACCCGCTTCGTGGTAAATTGAATTGAAATCATTGAAACATCCAGGAATTAAATTCTGTGGTTTGTTAACTGGTTTGTTAAAGGCAACAACCTTCAAATGTCAAGAGAAGTAATACAGAATTTATATCGAAATAATAATGGATAAAATTGTAGAGAATGTTTATTATATTTATTTATATTGTTATAAATACAGTAATAAAATGCATGTTTGTCTCTTTGGGTCACCATAGCTCCAAGACTTAGACACCTGATACTTAGTATGCACACAGAAGGCTATTTGGAGTATGCACATTAGGGATATTTGTGTTTTTGTGCATCAATTGTGTAATTAATTTAAATATGCCCAGGTGACTAAAACCTGAAGTGCTGACTTCAGCCACTAGGTGACATAGTTCCATAACCCATAGCTTTGCACTCCATATAGTCTGGAACCACTGGACAGTTGTCTAAGGGGGGCAGAGTTATAAGGCCGGTTTAATTTAACAAGAGATAATGGGGATTGAATGTGAAACGTGTGCTGTTTCCAAGTTGTAGCTCCAAATCCTCCTTGAATCTATGAAGAATACATGCAGTATTTACCAGTATGTAGGCTAACATGGCAGTGGTTTAAACTGCTGTGCTGCTGGGCTGGTTAATCGAAAGGTCGCCAGTTCGAATATGCAAAATGGAGTGAGTTCCCGTTGCTCTGTCCCAGCTCCTGCCAACCTTGCAGTTCGAAAGCATGCAAATGCAAGTAGATAAAAAGGTACCACTTTGGTGGGCAGGTAACAGCGTTCCGTGCACTTCGGTGTTTAGTCATGCCGGCCACATGACCATGGAGACCGTCTGCGGACAAGCGCTGGCTCCCTCGGCCAGGAAACGGACATGAGCACCGCCCCCTAGAGTCAGGCATGACTGGACTTAATGTCAAGGGGAAACCTTTACCTTTAGGCTAACATACATCATTTCTTGTCTTTCAAAGGTTAAAACCAATGTGGGTTACCTAGTTAAAAAAATATGAATAAAAACATCTGAAAATAAAGCGTCCTGACATATTGCCAGTAACTACCCAAAAGAACCCTCACTGGTATCTAGAGAAACTAGCTAGATCAAGAAAGATCTGGCTTATCCTCTGAAGAATGGTTAAACAGGCCTGAGCCTTGGTTTGGAAGGACACATTTTGCTGTCAGGGAACCTTCCCCAAACTGTCCAGCAGATGGATTGGATTACACCTCTTCATCAGACTTTTCTGCTATTGAGGCCCAAAGTCCTGGGGCAGCTGGATCCCCAGCAGCCAAATTTTATGTATTGGTTTATTTACAACTGCTGTGCATGTAAATTGCTTGCTGGGGGAAGTACCCTGTTTTCCCGAAAATTAAGAATTGGAAAATAACCCTAGTATGATTTTTCTGGATGCTCATAATATAAGCTCTACCCCAAAAATAAGCCCAGTCAAGATCATGAGCATTTAGTACATCCGTTGCAACACAATTTGGGGTTTGGAAAGTTACGACGATGTTCCAGAAGAAGATGACATGACTGTGTTTGAATAAATGTGGATTTTTGTACATGAAAAAATAAGACATCACCTGAAAATAAGCCCTAATGCCTCTTTTGGAGCAAAAATTAATAGACCCAGTCTTATTTTCGGGGAAATACGGTAATTACACCCCTATTCTGCCCTGGCTTTGGGCCTATTGCTATCCTGGGATAATAGGATTTTTAGTCTAATGCATCTGGAGGACACCAGGTTGGAAAGAACTAAATAACAGAAGTCAGATTTTAAATCCACTGTCATAGAGAAATGAAGTGGCAAAGGAGAAACTGCTAACACAGCTGGGCAAGTGGTACAGACCATGAATCCTTTGACGGTTTTTTCTCCCTGCATATCCAGTAGACATGTCACTGGATACCTAAAGGAACGCCTTCTTCTGTATTTGCCCTCCCGCCCCCTGAGATCGGCAGCAGAGGCCCTCCTCCGGGAACCCTCCATGAAAGATATTAGGAGGCAAAGTACCCGGAGCAGGGCCTTCTCTGCAGTGGCACCCCACCTATGGAATGCGCTCCCCAGAGAGGTCTGCCTGGTGCTGTCGTTATTTGTTTTTCGGCGCCAGGCTAAGACCTTTTTATTTCAACAATATTTTAATAACTTTTAACATTAGCTATATAGGTTATAAGCTGCAGCCAGGGTGGATCTGGATTTTATTTGTATTATGTTTTATTTTATTTTTCTTATTTATGTAAGTTGCCCTGAGGCTCTGTGAAAGGACGGCATACAAATACTCTAAATAAATAAAAGGAAACCTGATCCAATTAGACAGCACAAGTGGTCGATTTATTATTTTCATCAACCACTAACCTAGTTAAGCAATATAAAATACTCTTAGATATTGCATCTAGTGGCATGCCACCTTTTTCACAATGAATGGGAAAGATTTCTTAGAACAATGCAACCAGGAGAAGTCTGTCAATGTTCAGGGAAATACATGCGTTGGGAGGGGTGGGGGAATTGATTGCAATCAATATAATAGTGAAACTTTAAAAGATATTGCAACTGTGTGTTTATTCATTTATTATTTATGAATAATTCATTTATTTATATTCCGTCTTTTTTCCTTTCAAGGAATGCAAGGTAGGGTACATCATTCTCCCCTGGCTCTCAATCTTACCCCCACAGCAACAACCCTGTGAGGTAGGTTGGGATGAGACTTCCCAAAGTCACCCAGCTGGCTCCACAGCTGAGCAGGGACTACCCTGAGCTCCTGGATCCCCAGTCCTACACTCATAACCATTACACCGCATTAACTCTCTTTATTTAGTTTTTGTTTAAT